CATCCAAGCCACTCAGTACGGAATGGAATTGCTCCAGACTTTCGTTAATAAACTGTTTTCGAGATAGGAGCTGGTATGTCTCATATGTTTCATTTCTTTCCTTCTTAAATTCCGTCTCCAGTGCGTCTATCATCCGTGGGTAGCGAATCGTCGAGAGATCCAGATGCGATCGTCTTTTGTGGAGTTCGTCTTGCCCCTTTTCCCCCAGACACAAATACAAATTTGAAATTAGTACTTGTTCTGACTCCAGTCGATTCTTACCATCTACTTCCTCGGCCAAAGCAGTAACTTGGGCGGCTGTTAGAGTCGCTGCGTAATAGTAGTTCTTCGGGTTTGTTGAATGCTTAGCTACCATTCCCCATTGGAATCGGTTAATCCAGAATTCCCACATCATAGGCGATTCAGTAAATTTCGCCGGCCAGAATCCCGTAATGCCCAGTGGATTCTTCCCCCCACCTGAGACTGCTGGCTGCGCCATGTTGAAAATGTAAAAACGCTAGTCGTCCAATTGTAAATTCCAGATGAGATAGTTAACTTAATCTTACAAAGTTAGCATAGAGAGTGGTTGTGAACAGTATCCAAGGGTGACAGACTGTTCCAAGGACAAACACCTGCTAATCAATTAGTCTAGCATCAAGAGTGGACAGTTGATTGACAGATTGTAAAGTGAACTAAATAACTCTATACAACAGTAGCAGCAGAAACACTTACCTTTTTCATTGTTACGTACGTGACGTGTACAGATGCTTATTCGCCTTTAAGAGAACCTGTGTTCCACTGCCCTTTAATTGTGGTAAGGTGTTGTGTTGCTTAGTTAATGGACATCCTGTTGCGAACCATCTCTTGTAGCGTAACCGGCTGGAATAGTTTTGTCATCTCTATATAATGCCATTATTGAGCTTAAGATATAGACAGTTCTCATTACTTCTGTTCAACAAAAAAACTTTTGTTTTTCAGAGTTATTGATCCGTGCAGGTACTTACTTACGATTTTCCAAAAAGTATTTGATTTGAATTTTAGTCAAACTTCTTGGTTAGTTAAATTCAAAAAGACATGCTAATCACAGCAGCTTGATATACTTTCTTGGATGCGCAACCTTGATTGTTCCAATTAAAATTGACATTTGTTGTGTGACGATTTATAATGCAAGCTGCAAAAGCACATTGAGAAGATTGACCATAATTCTAGTTTGGTATACTATCTGAGACGATTGGTACAATCATTCTCTTTCCAATTTTAAATGAGACTTTGTTGTGCGTTGATGTATATTGAGCTGCAAAGGCGCATTGAAAATCGTCAGAAAAGGGCATGATGAAGCTGTATATCGCTTTGTTTGTGGATTTGGCCTCCGAATCTTGGTATCGCGCGTTAATTGCCCCAAATTGGTCAAAATGGCAAACTTTATACTCTCATAACTTAACAAAAAATGATCACAGGTGAAATATCTTTTTTTAATTTTTGCTCACAACAATAATACTTTTGATTGATATAAAAAAAATTGTCAACAATGGCTACCCGCACTGAATTTCCATGGTTAATAATCGATTATATTGTCATTTTATAGTCAGTATCTATAAAATTACAAAAATAATCGATTATAATCCATCAAAAATGGATTATATTTCTAGTTTTTTCTATATCAATGTAATCCATTCAAATCGATTATAATCGTTTTTAATCCATTAAAAATAGATTTTAAGCATAATATTTTTTAATCATTAAAACCCATTATAACAGATTATAATCAATTATAATGTATTTTTTGAGAAGAAATTATGAATTTTGCATTTTTTTAAATTATTTCATTTCCTGTTTCGTACAGTTGCTAAGTATTACGTTTCATAAATTTTTACTTCTCACAAAAGATTTTATTTAAGTTTTCAGTCAAGTTTTTATTTATTTAAGTTTTCTCTACTTTTACTATACTACGTAAACTCGTAAACATCGCCTCTTTTAACAACCCCCTTCCCCAGATTATTCCCACCACAGTTTACCACCCCCCCCCCCTCCCCAGTTTACCCCTCGTCAGCTTACTCCTCGTCAGCAAACCCCCCGCCTCTCCCCCACCCAGTTTACACCTCCTCAGTTTACCCTCCCGTATCTTTTCAACACCCCCCGTAGGCGAAATTTGCAACCTTTCTGCGTTTTAACAACCCCCCTTCCCCCGTAACACGCCTGGAGCAAAAAAATTGGGTGAGGGGGTTAAAACAGAGAAAATGTACTCAAACTGGGGAGGGGGGTAAACTGTAACTTGGGGGGGTTGGGTTTGGGGGTAAACTTTAGTAAACATGGGGTTGGGCGTAGGGATAAACGCAGGGGAGTGGGGGGATGAGGTTGGGGGCGAAGTGCGTGGTGGGGGTTAACTTGAGCAGTTTAAGATTGCGAGTAGACCGTCAGTAACACAGACAGGTTGCAAGTTTTGCAAATGAGTTCGCAAAAAATGTGAAGACTGTAATCCATTATAATCAATTATAGTGGATTTAAATGGATTATAATCCATCATAATGGATTTTAATGGATTGTGTTTTTAGGAAAACAAATTGATTATAATGACAATATATTCAATTTCGTGGTCTAAATTTGCAACAATAATGGATTATAATGACAGCAATTTAGACAACAATTTTCCATTATAATCGTTTATTATCCATGGACCTCCGGTGCGGGTAGTTAAAAAGTCGACTTTTGCCTGGAACAAAAAACACCCTAGCACAAACGTTGCGTTGCTAACAGCGCATGTAGAATATCTTAGAAGCTTTATTGCATCTCACGTATCAGTAATTGCGGATCTAGTCAACAATTTTTTTTTTTACAAAACTGCTTGTATCAGGGAAACGTAATGCCCTGAATGTTACCAATGTCTTTATTATCAGTTTCAGACTAGAGGGTAATTTAAAGATAACTTACAACATTCATTTTTGGTCGACCAACTCTCAAACTTTCTGGGGGGCTTTAGTGCCATTATAAACCTAGTTTCGAAGGAACGTAAGAACGTTTAGAAAGGAACGTTCTTCTAAATCATGCAGAAAGCTCACCAAAGCGTCCTTTGTTGTCGCTCTTCCAAAAGATGCATTTGCTGTTGAAATGGAAATTTTTTGTGCAATAAAGTCTACAAAGTAATATAGGAGAGCTCCGGAAATTTGTTTGGTCGACAAAAATTTCAAAAAACAGCTTTGAAAAATTTCGAAAATCCGCTTCCCCTTTTCAAAATTCAATTTATGCCGGCTGGTTGTACTTGTGTAAAAACATTTTGGTTCTTAAAATTTGATACACATTTCCACAATTTATAATTTGAAACTTTTTTTCGTATTTTGTCAACCAGATTGTCAAAGTTGCAGTAATATGAAAGATTTTAGTCTTGTAAACTAGGATGTTTCACGTTTTTATAGCAGTAAATTATTTTGTTTCAATTTTAGGCTTAAGACTTAAACGATTTAAAGCTGCTGAAAAAAATTCCAACAAGCTTTGTTTTTCAAAAAGTTTTCCGTCGAACCCTGTTAATTGAAATTTGCGAGAAAAAAAACACAAGTTTTTTTCTTTTTGTTAAAATTTCCGAAACCCAAAATCTTAATTGTTCCCACTGTTGAAATTGGGGAGAAATTTTTTGTTTGCCTTTTAGTTTTTCTAGTTTTTGATTTTTTTCCTTGCAAAAAAAGGACTTGGGTCAAAATGATTAGAATGGGTCAAATGATAGGTCATAATGAAGCTTTTTTATTCGTGATTGGAACGGAACGACTTTGAAAACTGTTCAAACAAACTTCTCTGTCGAAAACATTTGGTTTATAGTTTGTTTTCGAGCGCGTAAAGCAAGCAAGTAATGTCCGGTATTTAAAAGTTGGTTATTCCGGCTAAAAAATTTTTGTTTACCCGACAGAAGACTAGTTCTTAAAACTTATTTAGTGAAAAAACAATTCAAAAATTCCAAAAAAATGCAGTTGGAAAAAATGAAATATTTGTTTCAACTTTCACCTTTCGTAAGAAAGGCAGTCGATTTGCCTTTATAACATTCTTTCATTGCTTGAGTCTAGTCCATTTTATATTACCAGACCCAAATTGAAGCAAAACATGAAAAAAAAAGTTCATTTGTTTTTTGTTCTCATCAATGTAAAAAGAACTTTCTATACTACTTGCGGAGCAACCGACTATCTTTGTTGACATTCAGGTTGTGTGACCACCGCTGTCCTTAAGTTGCAGCCAAATACTGAAAATAGTAAAGACTCAAATAATGAATGGACCCAATCACAACTTTTTGCTATTCAGCTAACCATTTTAACCAATTTTCGTTCACCCACTGAAACATTTTAATGTCCTGCAGGAGCAGATTTAGGTGGGGGCGGACGCCCTTCCCCCTCATGGATTCGACCCCTGATTACCCAAAATCAATTCGGTCGACCTAAAAAAGTCGACAAAATTTTTAAAAAAATTTTGAAAATCCGCCCCCCCTCGAGAAAATCCTAGATCCGCCCCTGATATCCTGAGACCAGTGATGGATTTAAGAGGAGAAGAGACGTTTCAACACCTCCCACACATCCAGCGATTTCTCCCACTGAAAATCAAAGTCCAAATCTTGCCCCTTTGGTTCTATTACACAAAAAAATTTAAGCAGATCAGCTCCAAGCATTTTCTTAAGGCGCTTTTTGCCCCCAACTTATAATAACTTTGAGGGAAAGCGTGCGTTGCCGAAAAAATATCAGTAAGTAGGTCTTATGTGTTTTGGGAGATCTCGGAAATTCAAACTATTTAAAAGAGAAAAAACTCGAACAATTGTTGAAAAGCCACTCCTCGAAAAAATCATAGGCCCTGCCTCATCTTGAGACAATTTTATGTTAAGTTATGAGGGTCGAAAGTTGTCAGTTAGACCAATTTTGAAATGATAAATTTGTATATTAACGATGCGTTATTTCACAGACATGTTTTAATTTGAACAATTTTTGTTTCCCTCAAAGTGACCGCTTGCAGTAAAAAAAAAAGTGAGGTAAAAATTACTACGTTTTCACACTAATAATGCAGACAATATTCTAATCAAACTTTGCGGCACATCATTATTGCTGTCGAATTTAATTTTGTATTAACTGTGACATGGTGAGAGGCCCTAATTTATTGATCTCATTCTGGTTAACTGCTTGAAAAAATTAGTTCTTGGTTTTCATCCATCTAACTGTCTTTTGCTCTATCGACAGAAGCTGCGTTTTTTACTCTCGCAAAAGGGCCGACTTCTGGGTCGAAAATGAATTTAATCAGACATCCAACCCAACTAGTGTGATGAGGTAGATCTTTGTAGAACTCGGGTGCAATTTTAGTCAATTTGGGCAACTTGCGAAATGAAATCCAGGGAAAATCGTGATGCTCGTTGTGATAGCCGACATTCCAGGCCAGATAGTTCATTGGTCCATAATAACTGCTAGTTTGTTGTCCTTTATCAAAGAAAATGTAATGTTCGGAGATAAAATGACCGGCCATTGGATGAAGGCCCGAGCCGAGAATCGAACCGCCAACCAGGTAGAAAATAGCTTTAATTCCACCGAGGTAGGAAAAGACGAAGTAGTCGTAAAGAAGTTGAACGATGAGGTTGATGAGTTCCCACCAGACAAAAGGCTTCGGGTACACGAGAGTAGGTCGCAAAGTGTAGAGAAGGGGGTTCAAAATGAGCCACAATATCTGCCAGTCAAAATTGAAATAATTAGTCATGTCAACAGTCGCTCAGATCTCATTTATTAATCGAAAAAAAAAAACTTCAAAAAGAACGTTCAAAAATACCACTTCAAAAAATAATCTGCGTACACAAGTGAATTAAAAAGAAGGCAATAATGTGTACTGTTTGTCTTATATTTTATTTTTAATTGACTTTAATTATCTACAAATGCTTGTTATGAAAATGTTTTTTTTTTTCGTTCCCCTTCTGTAATACCCCAAAAGCGTTAAACTTATACTGCAACTAGTAGCTTTACGGAGTTGGGCATGAAGAAAAAATATGTTTGTTTCACGCGTCCAAATTCATCACAATCGGACAAAGTGATCAAAATTTACCCTAGTAAATATTTACAGGTGTTTGGGAAGAAAAAGCGAGGGCCAATACAACACCCCAGCATGATGCGAGGGCCAATACAACACCACAGCATGATAAATAGGGGGCTTAGAAGAAATATTCACATCAAACAATTTTGCAATACATCGAACCTTTGTGATTGGTCGGTTGAATAACTTAGCTTCCAACGGATGTGGCAGGTCCCTGTCTTTTTCATGGTGCCCCAGAAACGTGTGATGATCCCCGTGGTATTTTTTGAACGACACATAAATCGGCACTCCGATCGGCAAATTCATGAATATTCCGAACAGCCGAGTCCATAGTTGTCTGCGACTTCCAAATACAGTATTATGTGAATTCTCGTGCACAGCGAGCATCAGCGATTGGTTGATTGTTCCACTGATTACGTAAGAGAAGGCAATTGTGATTGGCCACGAGGATCTTCCGACTACCCAAGACATCCAGGTTTGAAATGCGACAATAAACGGCATCATTGCAAGCATCGTGTAGTCGTTGCCATATAACTGCCGGACTTCTGGATATTTGGCTGAAATATATTGCTCTAATAAAACTTAATTCCATTCATATTTTTCCTTCTGGTTTTCAGTATGAAACCACTCCCCATAAATCAGCAGGGTTCGTGAAATCTATAAAATCTCAAGCCATACTTTTGAGATTTCGTGTAGTGGACTTATTCATTAGACTGGTATTGTCTGACCTTGTGTCTATTCACTTCGATGGAACCTTAATCTCATTGATGATGATTCGATACATATAACCAGCGAATTATCTTTCAATTAATTTTTAACTCTACTTGGTTTTAATATGGCTACTTAGTTGTTCTGGCTACTCTCGAGCTGGAAGAAACTATGGCTTAGGGTTCATTTTTGCTTTTTAAATACAGTCAATTTTCAGACTAAATTAAACAAAAATTGATGAGGTTGACCTCCCAAGTTTGTTTTCTTTTTGAATTAACATCATTTCAATTATATTAACGAACTTTTGCCGTTTCCATTTGAAGCAACCGCCCTTTCTAGCAAAATCTGGCAGTACATTTTTTAATTTCTCATTTTTTCAAGCTTATTTTTAATCATTTTTGTCGGAACATTCTGTGCTACTTGTTGATATTTAAGGCTATCATAATTGTTAAGTTATGTCAACCAACACCTCGTGATTCAGGGGCGAATTTAGGGGGGGGGGGCGGACGCTTCCCCCCCCTCAGGGATTCGACCCCCTGCCAACCCAAAGGGTCCCCCCTTTGATACTTTTTCAGAAATCCATTTCTGGCCAACCGACCCTTAAATTTTTCTAAAGGCGCCTTTGGCACCAATATATACTAACTTGTAGGGGAGCGCGCGCCAAAAAAAACGCAATTTTTTTGTCAAAATTTTTCAAAAAGTGCCCAAAAACGGCTTTTTTGACTGTTTTTTCAAAAATTTGCCTGCGGCGCAGAAAGTTTGGCCGAAATAGGGGCAAAACAGTGCTTTGGGAGAGCTCGAAAAATCAATTTGGTCGACCTAAAAAACAAGGTCGTCAAAATGTTGGAGAATTTTTTGAAAATCCGCCACCCCCCCCCCCCCCCCCCCCTCGAGAAAATCCTAGATCCGCCCCTGTCGTGATTTATTGCTTTTCTTCATAATGTTTTTGAAACGTTTTAGAACATTTCTATCTATGGAATCCACGTTGAGCCGAAATTATTGAGCTTGGTATAGTGTTGAAGACCACAGATCATGGGGGTTTTCGTGCTTGAATTGTCTGGGTGCCTGGTTGTTGGATACCAGCCGGGTCGCGGTCCCGGACTTGTGCTCAGACTTTGAAAAGAGCGCCGCGTCCTGATCCAGATCCAAAAGGTTTATTCGCGCTGAGTCTGAAAGCCTGAGTAAAAAGACTCGAAAAGTCGCGTAGTGGGTTGCGAAAGTCTGGAATTGGTAAATTTTGGTCGGGCCACTGCCGATCGCACCGCCTATTACCGTGGTCGCAAAAAACGTGACGGATTTTTTTGGTCGTTAGGAAATGACAAAACTTGTCGCGTCGCTTCATTGGTCGCTCTGGTCGCGCCATCTCCTCGGTAGCGAAAGTCTTCTGGGACGGAAATTTTTGGTCGCGAAAGTCTAGAAACGTCAGAGTTTGGCTGTGGCAGTCTGGACATACCAAACACCGCCTCGGTTGCGAAAGTCATGAAGAATCTTTTTGATTGCGAAAGTCTGTAAATGCCAAGTTTTGGTCGCAAACATCTGGAAATGCCAACTTTGATGGCAAAAATCTGGACATGCCAAATTTTCGTAGTAATAGTCTGGACATAAGTCGCGGGCCTCAGCCCACTTAGAGTCCTTTAGCGTATATACACATTGTTCATTGCGCTTTTTGATGAAAAAATATCAGATGAGCTTAAAACTCTAATTCTCCGAGTCTTGTAGTGATTCCTAATTAAGTCGAATGAGGTGGCCTTAAACTTTGATTCAGATAAAACTCTTTCGAAAACTGTAAAAACTGATATTAAATTTCTAAATTATCGCCTTTTTCACAGCAACTTTGAAGAATTCATAACGTACCAAGGACCGATACACTGTCTAAAAATGTGTTCAGACTAACTTACCTAAAATTTGCTTCCGACGAGTTGAGTGGGGTTCGTCCGAATACGTGTATTCAAACTCAGACCGAGTGCATTTGGCTCCCATTATTAAAAGCAATAGCTGACAAGAAAAGCAGAAAAACTTCAATCTGATATTTGAAAATTTTCTTGAAAACTATGAAACTACGTTTTTTGCTGTTATGAAAACGAAACCAAAATCATCAATCACGAAGAATCATTATTCAGTTTTGTTCCGTTTTTTTTAAATCTTTTGTGTTAGCTTCGTTTTTGAATAGGTCGGTAAAATAAGCGTTCTAGCTGGTATAAATAATTTAAGTGTGGGATTAGAAGCAATATATTACCTTATTATTCAATTTCATTTATCTCTAATTGTACTCATATAACCTCAATAGAACCAGTGGCGGTTTAAAAAGCATGGAAAACACCTGGCTAGAGTGACAGATTTCTAATACCTAGTCAGATATAGCGATAGAGACGAAGTGATTCAATAAAAGCTTAATTGCTCACATGCAGGTGCTAGTTAGTATAATTTGGTTGGTAAAACACGTGAAAATATTCTAGAAGGGGAGCGCAACGAAGATGAGTAATTGTTACCAAAACACATAAAAGACAACATCACATCACAACATCACAAAGAGACAGAAAAAATCCGGCGTTTAAATTGCAAAAGAGTGGCGCTTCAGAGCGTCAATGAAACGCGGGTGCAATTTTTGAAAAATGTATTTTGACGTATTAATTTTTCGATTAGGGAAAAAGCTGATAACAGGCGCCGCAAAATGCTGCCCGCGATATGATTCTGACTTAGAGCTCACAACGGAATTATCATAAACAAGCTTTCGAAAAAAGTCAGAATAATATTACACCAAAAATAAACATGGTATGACCGGAATTTTCGAATTTTGCACCTTTTCCTCCCAAATCATAGCTAGTTATTCAGCCTAAGAAATGTCGCTCAAAAATTATCATGGATTAAAAAGGAACTTGTGATTTCCAGCCATTTTCTTGCATAGTAGGTATATAGTGTACAAAACATTCTGCTCGAAGCCAAACGATGGAATGTGAGGAAAAAACCGAGTTTTTCGGCCCCGTATTGTCTGTTACTTTGTCTGAAGCAGTTTTTATCAGAAAACGAAAAAAATATTTTTTTTTGAGTTTCTGGCTTTTTTTTCCTTTCCCCTGCCTGCGAAATTTCATTCGTTCACATTATCCTTTTGGCAAGCTGACTAATAAGGCTATGACAAACATATTTGGTCTTCAAACCTAACCTTGCAAAACTCCTCGTTACAGCATAAATTTGCAGCTAATGCGAGGTGGGGAGAAAAGAAAAACAGCCGAGTTTCTTGTATGCAATATCAAGCACAAAATAAAAAGTCTAGTAATAATCAGACGCGGATCTAACTTTCTTGAGGAGGGCGGACTTTAAAAATTTTGTCAACCATTTTTTAGGCTGACCGAATTGATTTTCGGAGTGCTCCCAGAACACTGTAAGAACCCACTTTTAACAAGTTCCTGTACCGCACGTAAATTTTTGAAAAAAAACGGCATAAAAGACCATTTATCAGAAAACTTTGACCAACAAATCACTTTTAAAAAACGGCGCCTTTAGAAAACAATTAGGGTTGATTGACCAAAAACGGTTGCCACAAAATATTACAAAAGGTGGGGCCCTTTAGTTGGTTAGGGGTCGAATCTCTGAAGAGCGAAAGAAGTGCATCCGCCCCACCCAAAAAGTTAATAAATTCATAGCTCTCAAAAAAAATTAACTGATAACTTGATGGTAAAACTGTGATAAAAATTATATCTTTCGCATTCAAAGACATGGGATCTTTACTAAGGTAAACAAATGTTACTCTTGTAGAATTACTCTTTTAACCCCAGTTGCACGTTCATACTTTCACTCTTCAGCCAATCACAAGCACGATTTTTCTGGGTTTTACAGAAGAGCTGTAAAGCTCATAAGAATCCTGGATGAGTTCTGTTCTTTTAAAAGTTTTTTTTTGTGTCAAATCGGATAAAAGAAACCAAGTTTATGCTCAACTTTAGGGAAAAATAGTTCAAAAGTTGAGAAAACTGGTGATAAATGGGTCAAAATGGCATTTGGAAATCCAAAAAAAAACGTATATTTAAAACTTTTAAGCTGGAAGGATTAAAGGTTTCAGATCAGTTTGTACGGGAGATCAGAAACTAAATTAGACAAGATTAACCGGTCGGTGGGCAAGTACCAAAGAATAATCCGACCACATTCACTAAAAATTAAAAAAGTTTTTTTTCTTTTTTTTGGAAATGGTGTCATTTATTGTGTGTGGTGTGATAAAGAAAACAACATACTAAAAATTAAGATGTGAAAAACATTTATTAAGGCCATACTTGACAACAGTCTTATTCAAGAACTGAATAACAAACAAACCCTTTTTTTGAAAATTTTTCTAAATAATTTCTAATTTTCTCGAGAAACATTTTAAATTTTCTTAAAAGCAAAGACTGAGTAAAGCTTTCGAAACATTTTTTGGCTGAAATTTAACTTCTCCTTATTATTTAACTGAACATTTTTTTAAACACCTCGCTTTCTCCACTTGGTTGAAATTAGAGTAAAGCTCAAAAACTACAGAGCGGAAAAAGTCAATTGAATTTTTTCTAGTATATTTGGAATCGAAATTATTGAGAAAACTTTAATCACTCGTCCATTTTGATCGTATTTTTTGGAAAACAAAAAGATTAGGATATCGACACCAAATTTTTTTGTTTTTTATGGATTACAAATGAAATCAGAGCAGCCTGCGTTATGTATGAAGAAACAGAATGTTCTAGTTCTAGGCTAGTTTTTTTTCAATTTTTGTTGCTTGTAAAACATACACAGTAAAAATTTTGTATAGGTTAGATGACAAATGATCCCTCACCTTAAATTAACTTTCAAAAAACAAAATATATATATATATATATATATATATATATATATATATATATATATATATATATATATATTGCAGAACTACATGGCATGATATAATTGCACCATCAATTTTCATTCTCTTTATAACAGAGTGCAGCGCGAAACAAAAGGTTTTTAATAAATTAAAACATCGATTATTCTTAATCGTATAAAAACTGCCTGAAACAAAGACAAAAATTTCAAAAAATCATTGCAAATATTTAATGTTTTTCTAGTGGAGAAAAATCAAATTGGAAAAGATAATGAAGCTCTTTTTCAATTAGATCTGCAGTCTTACACATGCTCCCAGGAATTTTTTTTTCTTGATTCAGATTATTTTGTTTGACCATTGAGAATAAGATCTAATTTTCAATGTCATTGCTCGCTACAAAAATTGGTGCTAAAATTTTTTTTATTATTATTCTTGTTCTTGTTCTTTCGCGCACGGGAGGCATGGGCAAACTTGCTACCACGTTTTACAAAAGACTTGCTTCGATGATCAGTGAGAAAAAAATTGAAATAACATCGTATAGTCAAGTCCGTGGATCCCGTTCATCATATCAGAGACCGAGGCATGATTGCGTAGAGCAGAGATTTCTTGAAGCGCGCTAAATAGACAGCAATTAAATTGCATGGATGTTTCTTTTAGGATATTTTTTAGTTGCTGTAGTTTCTTCTCATTGGGAGTCACTACAACAGAATATGGATGTGAAGATGAGTCCAATAAAACTGAAGTACAGCCAGCCATGGAACGTGATGTTTGCAAAATGACTGGAGCCGACTTTCATGAACCAGGAAGCGAATATTGTCAGTTCAATTCTACTAATTCTGAAAACTCAACTAATGGAAACATTGATTGGAATGAAATGTAATTATCATTTTGATAATTTGAACAAAAAAATCTTAGAGAAACATAACCTTGTTTATTTAAACAAAAAATTGGAAAATTGTTGACTTGGGTTCATACTGGGGTAAAAAATTCTTCCGTTTGAAATGGTTTTGTAAGATACCGCTAATTCTAGCAAAAACACTCAAAGCATAAAATTTACTTACCTTGACCAACAAAACAGATGGTAATCTGATGGGCGCAAAACAACGGCTGTTTCTTTTTTCTGCTTGTTTACCTCGAGTACTTTTACAGGGGACCAAGATTAGATCATAAATCAAAGTTTTCTAAGTATCAAATAGCAATGATTTAATTGTAAAAAAACATTTTAAAGACTGCAAAAAGTTGAAAACAAAAGGAGACTCTGCTCAAAGAGACGGTTAAATCGTACTCACACATCTGGCCTAACCCACCAGTAAAAGACATCCTGAGCATGCTCTATAGCCGAACTCACCACCCTCGTTACAACACGCTTAAGACACACTTCTATTTTTGACGACAGTTAGCGAAAACAACTATTTAAAAATCACAACTAAAACTGATTTCAATAACAGAATGTAGATATTCAATATAAAAATAACTTCTTGAGCAAAAAAAACGAGCAGCAAAGGCAGATGAAAACTCGATGACATTTCAATTCTGGAATGGCAAATCCATTACTTGTTGTCGAAGTCACAACCCTCACAGGATTTAAATTATAAATCCAACATCGCAGGAAAGGTACCTATTGAAGAAGAACAATGGCCACGCGATGTTGATCTCACATACGAATCCTCGTCACTTGGCGCTCCATACAGAGAAGTCAAACCCCTTCTCGCTATTCGATGAATAGTTGAGAATGCACGTAGTCTCGCTCTAACTTAACGTAATCAACCCATCTTGCATAAATCTGAAACCCTAACACGATCACTCAACACGATCCAAATACACGAGACCCACTTCTGAAGAACGAACGACTGTACCCCTTCTCTCTATGAAGACAACCACTCAAAAACACGAGCAACTGTTTCTTCCTCCTCATTCACGCAGCCACTGCATCAAACGAGTCTACTCTATGAATCAAAAAATCTCGCCATCCATCATTCACTACAAAAAACATTAAAACTTAAAACTCTCTGAACCCCGGACGGATGGAACCAGCTTAAATTTATTTTTTATATCCAATTATATTTTTCATGAGACTCTCTCTGTAAAATATTTCTAATTAACCAATCATGATCCATAATTAACATTTACTATAAATTATATAGCTGAAACTATTCATAGTTCTAGCAAACAGAACAGAATAAACATCATACATCTTATCTCGCAAATACCAGTATACACTAGATCTATTGAGACATAAGATATAAGAGTAAGATTAAGATCGTTGTTAGACTTAGAAGTTGCACGAATCTATCCGGCCGAAAATTAGATAGCGTGACGAACAGACGGTGTACTTTATCTGCAATTACTCTATGAGTGAGCCACCCCGGACATAAACTCCATGACGCTATGTAAACCCATTGAGAGGGGGTAGGGACCCCCTCGGAACATTTGACATTTGGCCAGTTTAACTTTCTACTTAAAAAAAAAATAGTCGGGTGCTCAAAAACTACCCGTTAGAATTCCCTAATTTTTTGCATGCGAATGCGAACCTAGACCCCGGAAATAATGGCAGTTTGTTAATGCCACTTTTTGATGGTTTTATTTTTGAGATGGGTTTTGGTCATTTTTGCCCTTTTCTCAATGACCCCAAACCCAAAAAGTGGTTTTTTCAATTATCTCTAAGTCAGTAATTGTTTCGGCGTTGGTCAAGAAGAACTTTCTAATAGTGCCTAAGAGATGTGGTTTGATGCTTTAAACCGTTTTGCATATTTTTTTTGCTTTCGCGAAAATCAAAAGTTTGACTTTTTAAGACGGTCATCTAAGGTTCGAAAAATGAAAAATTTTTTAAGTTGAAAATAACATATTCTGATTTATAAAAAACGAGTTTACCGTTGGGAAGTTATTAGTTAGTGGCAAAAACACTTAAGACTTCTTTTTTTGGAGTTTTTTTGCGTTCATAATTTTCTTAATTGCTCGTTCAACCGAAATTTGTCTTAAAATTTTTTTTTAATTCAGATCTGTCCTACATTAGCTAGAGTAGTTTAGGTCATATATAGCCAGATAGAAAGTTTGAACTACTAAATTTTATTGTAAGCTGCCGGAAAATTCCACGATTTGTTGTGAAACATAATGAAATTGCTGAAACTAATACGAAAAAAAACTAAAAAAGTCAAAAAAGAATTTTTTTATTTTTTTTTTATTGCAAATCTTGTAGGATGCTCTCTGGGCCCCTTAGGGCCCAGTAGAAGAGCATCCGAATCGGAATTATCCAAAAAAAATGAAATTAAAAAATGGTTGTTCTTTTTTAAGCCATCATGTCCAGTTTTGACTGAGCATCATAAATGAGCCCAAAGGGCGCATTTGTCTTGCGAAAGCGTTTTCAGCTGCCCTGCTATCCATTCAAAATTGCCGGAGTATGCGCATGCGCATATTAAGACTGAAACTCCGCAAAAATTATGCCAAGGTAGGGAGGGTGGGACGCAGACCTGACTGGCTAGGTAAACTAGAAAAAGTAAGCGTAACGTTATTTTTTATTCCGATGTTCAAAATTATGATGAAAAAGTAGGTCACGATTTATGAAAATGATTTCAGCTTCTGCTGAAAGAAGAGCAATTATGACGTCTAATCGGTATCTGCACTTCGTGGTTTTTCAGTTTCCGTCTAAACTCAGTTTGATCATGCGGCTCACTGCCACTGAAAGTTTCCTCTTCGCAAATCCATGGTTGATCTCGGCATATCAATCTTTCCTTCAGCCAATCATAGGATAGGAAATGTTCGAGGGCGCCCTCGTCGGGTATAACATAATACTCGTAAGCATTTCTGAGAGGAATTGCCATTGGGTAGTCAAGTTCGTAATTCCCATGGTATACAAAAACGCCTTCCCCATATCCAACAGATTGAATTACGTTCAAACAAACATGCGGTCTATAATTGACCTATAAAATGAATCACATTAACAAATTGTCAGTTTCAAGACTTTTTTGTAGTCAACACTTTTTTCTAATCTGCTTAAGAAAATTTTTCCGGTTGGCCATGCCAGAACAAAGGAAACGCGAAACAAATCTATTATAAAAAGTGCTTAAATTAAAAATTGCGAAGACATTTTTTTAAAGTATTTTTTAACATTTGAAATTGTGCATTTTCGGGTTTTGATGCAAAAAGTAAGGAAAAAAATTGAAACTGTAATCTTTCCATTACGGGAGTACACCAAAACCAAACTATGGTTGTCTTCAAAAATGAATAGGAGAAATATAAATCAGTAAAAACATGTTTTTTAAAAAAAAAAAAAATTTATAACGGATTAAACCACCGATTTTCATTTAACAAACGCTGAATGATGAAATCTAGACACTAAAAACGACTGGAAAACTTGCTCGATATCTTATATGATTAATACTTTAAATTTGAATTTGAAATTTTTTTTTCATTATTTTTCCACACTGTTAGAGAAAAAGTACCACTTTTCATTTTTTTTTGGGATCAACCGTACAAAAGACCCCCCCTCACTAAAAACTTAATATAATAACCGATTTTATTTGATTTTTAAAGTCTGTGTCTCTGAAACTCAAATTTATTCGATTAAATTTAATTAGAAAACGGTTATATTTTTAAAATTTTTCAAACCACTAAAATCTATCCCAATCGATTATGATTTATTATTTTCAACTTATCTACAAAATTTTTTGTGAAAGAAATCTAATCCTTTTTAATCGATTATTTAGTGGTTCAAAGTAACTTGAGACTCAAGTTCAGGGGCGGATTTAGGGGGATGGGGGCGGCGGACGCCCCTTTCTCAGGGATTCGACCCCCTGCCGACCCAAAGGGTCCCCTCTTTGGTACTTTTTAAGAATTCCATTTTTGGCCGACTGACCCTAAAGTTTTTCTAAAGGCGCCTTTAGCGCCTATATATACTAACTTTGAGGGGGAGCGCGCGCCAAAAAAACGCGATTTTTCCAAAAAGTGCCCAAAAACGGCTTTTTCGACCTGTTTTTCAAAAATTTGCCCGCGGCGCAGAAAATTTGGCCAAAACTGCGTTTTTTACTGCTTTAGGAAAGCTCGGATAATCAATTTGGTCGACCTAAAAAAAACCATCAAAATTTTCGAAAATTTTTTGAAAATCCCCCCCTCGAGAAAATCTTACATCCGCCCCTGCTCAGGTCAGTTCTTTTGTTCTCTCACTAAATTTCAGTTTTTAATAATTTCACTTGCTTTTAGTTTTGTTAAATTGCATATTTTTTGTTGTTTTTCAATTTTGTTCGCTATCCCCACAATTTGTTATTTATTTCAGTGGTTGGTGGGTGTGAGTTGGGGGTGTTTGGAGGAGGGGGAGGAGGATGGGGATTGTAGATGAAGGGGAGGGGGCTTGATTCCTTCATATAGTTTGGTTTCGATGGCTTCACGAGGAGGAAAACGGAACCACACAAAAACCAAACCCAAGAGTGGAGTGTGCGCCAACCAAAACTTGTCGAGGCAACAATGTGGGAACGTAAATCCACCGTACAAGTGGGAGGGGAGAGCCAACCCCTACCGAAAAACCAGGCGATACAAAGAATCAGAGCAGCGAGGGTGCAAGGACTATTACGCAGACGAAGGAACTGCTGCGACGAAGGAGAGAGCCAACAAGGTGGGGTTTTTGGGTATAGAGTCAGGTGATCCCGCCGATCTGGCACTAACCCTCCTCATACTGGCGGAAGATTTAAGGAAAAGAGCCCTGCGTTAACCAGAGATGCTAAGCGGGCAGATAATGTTGCCATTCTGATCGGGGGAAATTAAATCTGTTCCAAGAGGAATAAGAAATCAATTTTCACTTCGGAATGCACAACGGAAGAAATCTTTGGTTTTCAAAGATACCTCAAACAGAACAGAGTAAAATCGATCAAGGTGCTTGAAGTTTTGACACGGATATGTCAGGGGCAACAAGGGACAACATCGTCGAGCCAAGTAAGTCCGCGCCAGACCGGAAAAAATGCGAAGCCTGCAAACCTTGAAAAAACGACTCAATAAGAGAAATCAACGACATATTACGCGCAAGCGAAGAAAAACATGGCTGTGAAATCGCTGGATTGGGGAAAGAGTTGGCCTCTAGTTAGGTCTTAGCGGTCGATGGAGTACAATTAAGTGCAACAGTAGTTTGCTATCTAGCAACGATTGTACGCAAGTCGTGTCTATGACGGCCCAGCCCGTGGTGTGTCTGTGGGGGTTTTGGTCAAAGCTGCCGCTCCCTCTCGGTACCATCGCGGGCTAGTGGCTACATACTTGGACGTATAGACAGGCCACAGAACTGAGAACAATGTAGAAGAACCCAAGACCAAAATCCGTGACATGCCAATAATGTGCGAAGAAAATTATAGACAAAAAAGAAACAAGCGTGTGGTCCATTTTAGATGAACGTCTCTCAAAAGCAGAGCAGAGTACAACTCATGGTGCCGAAGTAGACCGGGCGGAAATTATGGCCACAGGGTGTCCCAAGCAAGGAAGCGGTAAACGCACAACAACAAAAAGCTAGACGCAAAAGAAAGCAAAAAATAAATTACAAATTCTGGATTGAACGCACCAAAAAGAAGGGCTACACAAATGGGACACAGATCTTGTCGTGGAGTGTACCAAAAGCCAAAGTTGCATTTCCTAGGAGTAATCGTTGTTGTGAAAAGCTACGAGTGATTGCCAAAACTGATGTGGACATAATCTTTTTCTCGGAATTGAACAAACCAGACGGCGGATTCCAGTGGATAGAACTAAAGACCTATATGGTTATAATGTGTACGGCAAAAGTAGCGGAATCTTCCTCTGAGACAACTGGGCAGTGGAAAAGACCGAGCAAGGACTAATACGGCAGTCAGTCCGGAGACCGTTTTAGTACGGCACTCAGACGTGATGGCGGATAAACTGGCACTTTTGGCTACACACGAACCGCTTTGGGGTGCGAACTACTGGAGTATGAAACTTCCAGGGAAGAACTGAAAACACTAATATTGAAACGTAGCAAAAAGTGCCTGATTATTGAAGGGGATTTCAACGCGACAGTGGGAGACAAGACGAAACGAAACGATCAGTTGACGATGCATCTTGGCCTAATACTTTGAATAAAATGAACGCGACTGGAAAGTCGCTTGTAGAACTGAGCCACGCCCACATTCTTGCGTGGCTAAACTCGTTTTTTTTTGTCACGATAAACAACGAACTTGGAAATGTCCCAAAAAAAGACATACATGAGTTGGATGGCTTTGTGCTATGAAAAGATGAACGCAGCAAAAGAGCAAAGAAGATTCGGACCGTAAACGAGGCACCTGACCTGTCAAAACAACAACCCAAACCCATGGAATGCTGGATAAGAAAGATAAGAAAGGTTAAAGCAGTGAAGAAACCTGATACACGTGTCGGAATTGACTATGATGCCTTACAGGCGATACAAAAGCTCTTCACGAAGAAAAGGATGAGAAGACTGACAACATCCAATCCTGGGACAGAGCAATGGCAGTACCCCGGGATGTTCCTACGAGAGTATGCAGAAAGAAAAAGAATATAACTCTCAATCCGTGGAAAGAACAAAGAAGAATCAGAACTGCACAGTGGTGACATTCAGATCGTGTACAAGAAATATAGTTTCCGGAGATCTTAAAATCATCGAGGAAGAAAAGCTCCTTCCCGAAGAATTCGGATGCCACTTCAAGGCCGCGTCAGAGATTAGTTTGGAGTAGTTTGAAAAGGGTGATCGAGTGAACCCTAAGAGACGATCCATGCCAAGGTGCAAAAGCCAGCAGCTAGACCAGAAGGTAGCATTTCCGGAAATAATGTACGAAACGAAGCAAATGAAAAGCGGAGCATCTGGAGTTCAAGGAGTAGAATTCAATTCACTGAAAGCCATGAACCGAGACACGAAAAATGATTGCTTAACATAGTCATTACGCATCTTCAAGAAAACTAGCATAAGTGAGAAGAAGAGACTACGACCGGCTGGGTAGTGCCGTTGTTTAAGAAGAGCTCGAGAGGTGATTTGACAACTACTGAGTCGTGTGTTTATTGCGCTGATAAGTCGTCTGTGCGCAAGCATCTTAACTGGGCATAGTCAGAGAACCTAGGAGAGCTGGGAAAAAACAGAGTGAATTCCGAACCTGAAGATCAGCTTTCGATGCAACGCAGCTCGTCTTGAGAATGAGCGACAAGAAATCAAGAGGGTCTTCGGCCGGGAAAAGTAACCACAGGGAAGCGAGCCGGAGCCGTACTACTGGACATTAAAAAAGCATACATCAGGCTAAGCCGACTCTTACTGTGACGAATCATTGCGAACATCGTGATTGGTCAAACAACAAATACAAGGTTGAAAGGGTGCACGAGGGCACGTCATTTCAAGTGAAGTGGAGAGAGGCAAGTAGCGAAAGTTGGCCCAATGAACGCGGACTGCACGAATGATGCGCATTCTCATTCTTTCTTTTTCAAGCCATCAACGTAGCACGTGCGAGAAAACTGAGAGCGGCAATAGAGAAAAAACTGAGTGCAATGGAAACCAGGAAAAGGAAACCATGAGAGAGTCTCCAGACAGCAGACTCCAAAGTGACCCTAGCGAGCAGTGTGTCGAGAACAGTCATGATTATCTTGTTAGCTGATGATGCGACCTCAAGGAGGGTAGGGAGGTGTTTGAGGAGACGATCATGGAAGTTGGAGATCGCTGTCATGACAAAAAGAAAGAATTTATTTGCTCCGGATAAAAAAATGCGGACAATACGATCTTGGCAAACTTCAGAGTGCGGTGGATCGGTGCTATAGAATTGTATGGACTGATAAGAAGGGAATACCAAAACTGAGGATGCATAGAGAAAACACTAACAGCTACAACATCAAGAAGCAACTAGAAGTGCACTCCGTCGGATACAAAGAAGAGAAGAGGTTCCTTGGTGAAACTAAGTCAAGTATTGCAGATGGAAGACACTAGACTGACTAGTCAAGTAGTATTGAAAGTTGAAACGGGAATCCGAGGAGGAATTTCGGAAACAGAGACAACGTAATTTCGTACTGGAAAAGGCTGCTCCGCGAGATTGGTCGAGATTGGACCAATGCAGAGAACCTGACCAAAACAAGGAAGTCACGGAAGAAAAAGACAAATGAGAGACTGGCCTTTATCGCTGATTGCGAAGACCAAATAGCCTATGCAATGCGTGGGGAGCAAACGCCCGATAGAAATCAACAAACGGAGGAGGAAACAACTTTTCGCTGCAGATGGGAGGACTCTGGGAAGATGGGCCTCTCAATGGGAGGATGGAGAAAACATGAAAGAAGACTGCACGAAATCTCAAGCCAGCAAGAGTTCGTATGTCCGAAACGCAGAAGAACATTCAGGGAAAAGCACAATCTTCCGAATCATGTGAAAACGCGTCTGACCGGGAACTGCGACACAAGACCGGATGCGGTACAACTCTGCCGACAGTTTATATTAGCTCGCATCTTAGGAAGTTTTGTAAGACCTTCTCGCTAGAAACAGAAACATCAATATGGACATCAAATCACATAGGTCTCAGGAAGAGAAAACAATGCGGGAACTGCGAGACCTGAATAACGAAAAATAACCTGTGCCGCTGCATAGGCCATTGAAAAAACCTAGGCCCAGATATGGGCCTAAACGGACAAGAGAGAGGAGCGAGCGTAGTGAGAGGTACGAGGGTTGAACGTTGATGGGGCGGGGGGTGGGGGTAGCGGGGAGTCGTGAGCGACTCAGCAAGTGGCATGTTGGCGGTGATTAGTGATCATTGGGACGAAATTGTTCGTTCGGGTTTTGCAGAGAGCTGCCAAAAGTAAGGTAGTTATTTACAAAAAAAAATCATGTTCACAAAATTTGTGTACAACAAATAATCCAATATATTGAAAACAAAAATGATTTTTAATCAATTATAATGGATTTCTTTTTTTGAAAACAAATCGATTAAAATGGATTGAAAATCCATTACGGTGATTAAATTTGCCACGATAATCAATAAACTAACCAACAAAAATCCTTTATAACTCCAGCAACAAAATTTCCATGCGGGCTATTGTATATTGACCTACCTAATCCTGTTTTTTTTAATTTTATTTTTTTTTTAATTTTTCATTTCAAACAAGCGCGCTGAAAATACTGCTGGAGATATTTGTTATACAGAATAGCTGTTTTATCATGTTAATAGCTTATTTTGTAATAAAAAAATTTTGCAACGATAATTGATAATCAAGACAACATTTTAGTCGGCAAAAGCTTTATAATAGGTTTTTATCCATGAATCTTCGAATCGGGCTACCGTAAACTGCCGCTCCACAAGCATGTATCAATTTTGAAATTTTGATTTCGCAGAAACTTTTCATTTCAATCAAGCGCGCTGAACATACTGCTGGAGAATTTTCGTAGACTGAAGATTTATTTTATCCTGTGATAACGTATAGTTTAGCGTAAAACTTTAATTAAACTTTGGTATCGATTGATTTCTTTGAAAACAACAATTTCTAAGAAACCAGTGTTTAAACCTGCTAAAGAAATTTGAGGGAAAACGGTAGTTTGGTTGATTTCCGAACTGTTGAATCACTGTTGAACTTTGGCACTGACAACACAAAAATTTCCAAAAAAAAACCAAAAAAGGTACAATTTTTTCATGTTTCAAAAACTCACAAGAATCCAGTTTAATTGCTTTCCTTGTGAGTTGAAATTAGTCAGATTAGCCCAATAGTCTCGAGGCCCAACTCCATATGATGACCCAAACTTCTTATACACCTGCTTCTGAAAACTGCAGCAGGGACCTGAAATTTTTTTTTTAAATTTGAATAAACTAAGCAAAACTTGGATTAGGTTACTAAAGCACTAGTTTGATAAACTGTCAATTGGAACTTACTCTCAAAATAAACTGTCAAAACTCGCATTCATAAAAACATCTCTAAAATAAACAAGACTGCTCGTATCAGGGCGAAGCCTTGAATGTTCCGACTGCCTTTTCAGGTTTATGGAGCAGTAATAACATTAAAAAATTAAATGTAATAAAAAAATGAAAATATTTTTTTTTCAAAATTTGAAATTTTTTATGAAAATCATCCCCTCATACGCCATATAAAGTACAAAAATATAGATTTCGCTCCTTGTAACAAATCAATTATGGCAAACAAGCTTCTTTCAACCAATTAGGAACGATTTCTAAGACGGATTAACTCTCCGCTTACGCGTTAATAGCGCGAAATATATCGCGCGTTAATTGTCCCAAGTTATACCCTCTTTAAACCTTTAACCCCTCATAACTTTACGAAAAATGATCACAGGTGAAATATCTTTTCAAATTTGAGCTCATGACAACAATACCTTTCGAATGATGTAAAAAAAATCCGTCAAAAATGGCTAGTTAAAAAGTCTGAAGAAAAAAAAACCCATCCCGAACACAAATATTGCGTTACTGTCGTATCGAAAGTCGGATTAATAAAGAAATTTCAGCCCAACATAATGCCGTGAATAGCCAAAATCAGAGTGTTTTTGCCCGTAATAACTGTTGAAATACTAAGGTACGACAGCCGTACTTTTTAACAATCATTGTTCTGATTCTGTGACCGTCGATTTTTGATAACAATAGATCAAAATCCTGATGCTGATTTTGTTCCGACTCTCGGAGAAAGTGACGGAATGCTTTTGCTCGGATGGTTTTTTCTGCAGACCTGTTTAAATTTTTAACTAGTCATTTTTTGCGGAATTTCATATTACCATCTGAAACGTATTGTTTTCTCGAGCTCAATATTGAAAAAAAATTTTTCATGTAATAATGTTTTTAAAGTAATGTGGTTTAGAGGTAGCCAACTTGGGATAAATAATGCGCGATATAATCACTGCTACCCGCATTGGAGTTCCATGAATAAAAATCTATTATAATTGAGCTTCCTTGTCAGTCTCCACAAAAGTGAAAACAAATCGATTATAATCTATTGAAAATGGATTATAATATTACTATTTTTCCAGGCAACAAAATCTTTTTTTTTCATAAATTATAATCGATTTTTTTTTCACTTTTGTAAACACTGACATTGAAACTAAGTTATCAACGATTTTTTTCCACTTTACTTAAATGCAAATTTCAACGCACATAAAGTCTTTTCTACCCATTAAACTAAAGTTGGTTACGTTGGTTACTTGTTGTTTAATTTAATTTTTTTCTGCCTAAATTTGATATTTTTGTTACTTTTTTATGGTACTTTAAAACTGAATTTTGTTCCTTTCAACAATTTTGTGGGGGTTCAAGGAAGGGGGTGGCAAACGCAGGGCTGGTGGCTTGTAAGGGAGCAAAACGGGGGGGGGGTAGTTGGTTCAGATGAGGGCGGTGGTGGTGGTGGTTACGGTGGGGGGTGATCAGGTGGTGGGGGGGGGGGTGCTCAGGTTGGGGGAGGGAGGTGTTCAGGGGGGTTCAGTGGGTGGGGGTGGGTTTCGGGTGGGGGAGGGGGCGGGTTCAGGTGGGGGAGGGGGTGTTCAGGTGGGGGGTTGTTCAGGTGGGGGGTATTCAGGTTGGGGTTCAGGGGGGGGGGGGGGCGGTTCAGTGGGGGGGGGGGTTCAATGGGGGGAGGGGAGCGAAGGGGCAAACGTTAGGGGGACTGAAGGGGAGCAAAGGGGCAAACGTTGGGCGGAGCATAACGGAATCTTTTTGCAATTTGAGTTTAGGTATAGAAAAGGATTAGGCCGTACACTCGCTTTGCATAAAGTGGAAAAGAATGCATTTTAATGTGATTATCAAGTTATTATAAAATCCATTATAACGGATTCCAAATAAATTATAATACATTTTGTTTCGGCGAGAAAAATTGGATTTAAATACATTTTTAGTCCAATTTTGTTGTCTGAACGCAATATGGGAATCGATTATATTTACAACACTTTAGACCACGAAAATCCAGTAAAATCGATTTGTTTTCATTTTTCTTAGTTGCGGGTATTAACGCGGAAGCCGAAATTCTTTCCGTGTTAGAAATCGTTTCAAATTGAATTGAGGCAATCTGTTCGGTCCCTTTTATAATGTGCTGTAAAGACAATATATAGCTATATCACTATTGAACAAATTTTAGATTTATAAAAACTGGATGAATTGTTCGAAACCAAAAACTACTCCATATAGATTACACGGCAGTCATATCGTTCAAGGAGTCGCCCTGATACCAGTTGTGTTATTTTTTGAAACTTCGAATGTGCTTAACGCCAAATTCATGAAATGTTTTGCATTCAAACACCTTTCCAAAATAAATTGCGAAGAATGATGTAGTTTTGGCACTTAAATCCGCAAAATCAAAAAATCAAAAAAATCTATCTGATCTCAATGGATGGAAACTTACTTGAAACCCTACACCAAAAATCTTTAAGGGCTATATCATTTTAGCCTGCAATTTAATTCGCAAAATTTCAACTGTTCGTTTTTAATTAACTGATTTGCTTGTTGTTCTGGCTTTTGCAAAGAAAGTAACGGAATATTTGGGCTCGAGAGGTTTTTTCTGCAGGCAATTTTTTTTCTTCAATCGACTTTTAGTCAAGCTATTTTGACGGAAAATTTTCATATCAATCAAAGGTATTGTTGTGCTGAGCTTAAACTTGAAAAGGTAATTTACCTGTGATCAATTTTCGTAAAGTTATGGGGGAGATTTAAACCGTCTAGTAAAACGTTCCAAAATGGTTGAAGCAGACTATTTGCCGCAATTGATTTGATACTAGGAGCAAAATATATCGCTTTGTACTTAATCTGGCGTGTGGGAGTATAATTTTTACAAACAACAATTTAAAAAAAATCTGTTTCATTTACTGCATTTATTTTTTTTCATGTTATTTCTACCCCATAAACTTTAACAGGCAGTCGAAACATTCAAGGCTTCGCGCTAAAACGAGCAACTTTCGTAACGGAAATACGGGCATATTTGAGCTGGGTGGGGTTTTTTTTTTTCTTCAGACAAATTTCGACTCTCTAACTAGCCATTTCTGACGGAATTTATTTATATCATTCGACAGCTATTGTTGTCCTGAGCTTAAATTTTGAAGATATTTTACCTGTCATCAATTTCCATAAAGCTATGGGGTTTAAAGTTTGCCAATTTGGCCAATTTGGGACAATTAACGCGCAACATGTTTCGCGCTATAAGCGAGTAGGCGTTGATCTAATTCGTCCCAGAAATCGTTCCAAACTGGTTGAAGGAAGCTTATTTGCCATAATTGGTTTGTTAATAGAGGCAAAATTTATCACTTTGCACTTTATACGGCGTGTGTGGTGATGGTTTATAAGAAACCTCAAATTAAAATAAAACTGTTTTTTTTTTACATTTAATTTTTTAATGTTATTATTGCACCATAGAACTAAAAGTCAGTCGGAAAAATCAGGGCTTTGCCCAAATACGAGTTTTGTTATTTTTTCAGTTTTCTAATGTACTTACCGCCAGATTAATGAAATGTTTCGCATTCAGAAACCCTTCCAACTTAAATTGCGAAAAATGATATACCACCAAACGCAATTTACACCACTTTAAGTAATGTTAACAAAAATCTCTTGATAATGTTAGTGTTCATCAAAAAATAATTTTAAGTGTTATAAAGTGTATTTAATCAAAAGCTGAATCTTTATTACGAGGCCAAACTGTGGACTTTGTGCATTGTAAGCAGTCCGCAACAGGGCAAAATCAGATATGTCGCTGAATCCGCAATATTGCTACTTTTCTTTGATCTTCGTTGCTGTTTTGAATTCCACAAACATTACCTTAAACACTGTACCGCTCAAAATTGCTCCAAACATAGGCAAATTGGAGGAATCCGCTACCGTATTTTCGGAATCCATAACAGTATGAATCCACATTGAGCTGCTGCGGAAGCCCAGTTTACATTGAGATGTTGCGGAATCCGCAACTGTAAGCTGAATCCGCAAACTGTAAACGGAATCCGCAATTTGTTAGTGAAGTCCGCATTTTGCTTGCGAATTCCGTTCACATATATGTGTATATGTAGTATAGCTTTTATAACTATACCTTTTATTTACTAGGTTGTCATCAAAAAGTTAAGAGAAAGAATAAGATATTCAGTTTATTAATTGTGAGTTAGCTTTTTAGAATTATATAGTATCATATATTCACAAAAAATTGCCCTCAGGATATGATTTAATTTGGGACCCATCTCAAATACCGCCCTCATGAATTCACTAGAATCGGAATCTACTGGATCACTATTTGGGATTGATAGAACCCCAAATACACACCAGTTTTTTTGGGATTGATGCAACCCCAAACACTGACCTAATTTGTCAATATGACGTACGTTGTGTTTCCTATCTGGTACAAAGCTTGGCCTCGTAATGTACTTTAGAGACCTTAAAGTTTTTTTGCACTTAATTTTTTTCATACCGCTACAAGTAGCATTTTTATTTGATGCTATAGGGTGCTTGGTTCTGGCTTAAATCAAAAATGATGAGCCTGTTTGCATAAATAATTTTTCGAAATTTTTCGCATATCTTCTCAAAGATAAAATTGTTAAAATCACTCGTTCTTCTAAACCAGCTCAACTAACCAGTAACAAAGTTCTCACTCTTTTTACAAATTTTCAAACTTGTTTTGACTGTCACATTTTGTTAAAAAATTATAATTATTCGACGCCTCCTTTTACGCAAAAAAAACAAAAATAAGATTGATCGTGGACAAAAGAAAGACATTGAAGAAAAATCATCAAAAAATGCGTTGAATAACCATAAAGAAATTGTTTCATCTTTATTTGTTTCAGTTTGAGTCACATCCATTGCCGTTAGACACAAGCT